ACAGAAGCTTGCTGGGTGACAGTGGCTCACATCTTTAATCCTAGCTACTTAGGAGGCTGGGATCTGAGGATCAGTGGTTCTGATGTTTGAACTAAGGGCCTGGCACTTGCTAGGCAGGTACTCTACTGCTGAGCCACACTCCACTCTTTGTTGTAATGGTTATTTTGGAGATGCAGTCTCAAGTCCTGCCCATAACCATCACTAGACCTTCTAAATCTGTCAACTTTCTATTATAGCTATGATGACAGGAGCAAGCCACCACGTCCAACTTCTTCCACTAAGCTGTCATCTCAAGCACTTTTTGGCACAGGCCAGCCCTGAATGATTGTCCTAGTCTCAGTTTTTTATCTACCAATCTTAGCCTCAAATCTAGCTTGGGATGTCAGTTGTACAACACCATATTCAGCTATCAGTTAAGAAGGGAGGGGGAGGGTGTCTCATAAATTTTTCTGCCCTGGCTGGCTTAGAATCATGATCCTTCCAATCTCAGCCTCCCAATAGCTAAGATTATAGGTGTGTGCCACTGCACCTGGGAGAAATGTATTCTTACACAATTCTGGAAGCTACAAATAAGAAACTAAGGTTTATTCTTTCCATAGTCTCTAGGAACGAACTTCCTATTCCTCTCTCAGCTTTCAGAAGTTTCCAGCAATTGGGGGCCTAATGCTTGTCCTATAGCTACATAAATTCAGTCTCTGTTTACACATGTCATTTTCCTCCCTGTTTGTGGCTAAAAGTCCCTCTTCTTAGATGAATACTAGTTAGTGGCTTAAGTCCCACCCTTATTACTTTAATTACATCTGCAAAGACTCTATTTCCAAATGAATTTACATTCATAGGTATCCAGGGTTAGTCTTCAACATGTCTTTGGAGGGACACAGTGCAACCCACAGAAATGTAAACATGGAGACAGAGCAAAATCCTGTGTAAAATAAAAACAAAAGTAAAAGCCTGAGCTGGATGTGAAATAATATGACTATCAGTCAGGCCTATCCTCTCCCCATTACTGTGTGCAGGCCCTCTGTCTTCTGTTCTTAGAGATGACAATGCTTACCCTACTTCAGAAATGCTATGAGAATAAAATAAAGTCATATAAAACATTTTCTATTGGGGAAGTGTTTCTACAAGTGCAGAGGATTATTGCGAATTCATTCCAGATTGTGTTGACTTTTCCTTAACTTCATAACTACTTAATGAATAGGTAAAGGAAGGAGAAATACAGCTTGTCTTACAAGGAAGAGAATTTAAATTACATGCCTCCCTTCATTTAGGGTTTGAGATAAAAGTACAATAGCAATCTACAGATAAGGAGAATAGTATTACAAATCCCCGCTTCACTGGGCTTTTTACTCACCCCAAGACAGAGTGGTAACTCAAATGAAGCCAAAAGGTGATAAGCAATTGAAAAGCAAACCAAGCGGGCCTGTCTTATCTAGGACATCTGCAGATAAGTATCACCAACTAGCAGTGGCTCTCTTTCTCTCCGTGTGGTCCCTATTACCGGATGCCAGGACAATATTCTGATCATTTGCTTTGTTTGTGAGACTTGAGTCTGGAACAGGGCCTCACACATGCACAGATATCACCAAGCTACATCCCAGCCCCCAACATCTCAATAACTGCTTTGAATCTGCTTGTCTGATGACCTTGCTGGAGATGAGGACAGAGACCACCAACTTTATAAAATTAGACAAAGATATTTTTCAGCTGGATGTGACATGTCTATTACACAAGCCTCTGTCTATTACAAACAAGCCTGTGGATTCTGGTTTGGGAAGAGGCAGAGGGATGAGGGAAACTAATGGTTGGGGTGAGTCGATATATTGTATGTATTTATACAACTAATCCATTGTAATTTTTTTTAATTTTAAAACTGAAATATTAAGGGATGTGAAGGGTAAACAAAGGAGGAGGCTGCAATGCTTGATAAGAAATGTACTCATTATCTTGCCCATGTAATTGTAACCCCTCTGTACAGTATGTTCACAAAAAATAAAAATAAAAATAAATTTTAAAAAACAAATATTGTGTAGCCAGAATAAATTAAGATTCAAATTTAAAGATTATTAAAAAATAAAAAAAAGAACCTTGTTTTTTCCTTTTTAAGAACCCATAAACCCTAATAGTAATGAGAAACATTTTGTCAGATCACCAGATTAAGTCCATGGGCCTTAAGAAGCTAAAGATGGCCACCTCTGAAAACGGGGGGGGGGGGGGGGGGGGGGGGGGGGGGGGTCGGTAATTGTGTCCTTATAACAGCTTGAGAACTACATCCAAAGCATCCTCCAGGAAAAATTGGGGGGGGGGGGCAGAGGAGGGAAACAACATCACTAAGGAAAAGAAAACAAAGGTTCTCAGAAAGCATTTCTCATCTGCTCAGCAATCTGAATCCTCTAATTCTTACTGCTCTGTTCATAGGCTTGGACCAAGGGGGGGTAGCATAATCTTAACTTAGAGGAATATACCAAATCACACACTAATTAATAAACAAAACTTTATTTTCCTTTAATACAAAAATTAAATAGCAAGGGTTTTTTTTTGTACAGTTGATAAATTAGAAATTTACAGTACAGACATCAATGCAGACATACTTTTGTACATCCTTAAAAGCAGGGTCCATTTCCTTTGTGATTCAGTGCTTCACTCTGAGCATGCATAGTAGGAGTTCGCCTGGTACCTCTATGTCCGACAGGTGGAAGTCCCCCAGGCGGGCTTCCAGGTGCCTGGCACTGTGGGGTGGCATGAGGATCCAAGGAAAGGCAACAGAACAATGAGTCTGACTGCTGCGCAGAGCAGGTTCAATCATGCTTTTATCTTTGCAGATTGCACCTGATAATTAGTCTACCTTTCTTAGGAAGAGCTCAAGGGGCCTTCATCCTGAGACCTTCTAAAGCCTCACAACATCCCTGTGAGGTAGAAAAAAGAAATCAGATCTACCTAGATGGCTCGCTGACAGAGATCTAAGGAAGCAGCTTACCCCTCCAATGCCTACAACCAATTCAGGGCCAAAGCCTATTAAGTATATTAGGAAACTTGCACAACCAGGAAAGGAAGATGGACCCTGCCTTTGTGGGGAAGAGCCCCTCTCGCACTTAAGCCTTCTAGGTTAAGAGTGGCCATGTAATGTGTACAGCAGGCTTTCAAGGAGGTACATAAGCTTTGAAGATACAGCACCTATGAGACCCAAGAAGACCCTCTAGCAACTGCCTGGATGAATACTAGGAATGCTAATGCAAAGATATAGTAAAGCAAAAACAGAAATTAGCTAATAAGGGCAATTGAGTTTACCAGGAAATCCGTAGTATATTTCTCTCCTAGTTCTGTCAAGCCATTACTACACATATGCATGACCAGATGTAGCCAAGCGAGTGCTCTAACCAGGTCACAGTGAAACCAAATCTGTTACTGAAGGCTCTAGTATCTGGTTCTTAGGAGGAGCAAAATGCTCTCCTAACAGTTCCCAAGGTCTGGGACCTAGCCATGAAGAAAAATAGCAAGGAAATAGTTAACTCCCAATTTCAAATAGTAACTCCAACTCCACAGAAAAATAGTAATTCCAATTCCCTCCATCACAGAATGAAAATCAGGATGTAAACTGATCTTTCTTCAGAGGCTCCTCCCAACCTTTTCCTAAGTACTGCTGTCAGCCCTTCATGAGAAGGCAGAGACTGTGTGACATCCTGATGAAACCCCTTTAAATTGAATCAGCCTTTTAAGGACTCAGGATGTGGAACACATCTTTGTCCTCAGGTCCTAGCTTGGCTCTGAACACACACACACACACACACACACACACACACACACACACACACTTCCCTGACACACACACACACACACACACACACACACACACACACACACACACACACACACTTCCCTGACCCAGGGGGAGAAAGCTCAGAAATGAGGGGGGGGGGGGGGCGGGTAACTGGATAGAACAATGACTTCAAACCTGAGATATTTCCCAGGTTCTGGGATTGGGGAGTACAGGTGACAGAGTGACAGGGTAAGAAAGTCAGAGAGCATCTCAGGGAAATGAAGGGTCACCTCTTCTCCAGTTTCAGGTCCCTGGGCAGGACGCCAGCTCAGAAGCAGTCTCAGTAACCAGGAAATAGGTCTCCATAAAGGAAGAAGGATATGAATCAACTAAGGAGCAAAACCAGACGGCTCTGGCCAGTCCTACCCTCCTCCATGTTTCTCTGCCTGCCCTGAGGTTTGAGTTTTAGGAAATGAGACAAAAGAGCCTACCAGAAAGGGGGCTGAACAGAGGTGTCCTTGGACTTATTTGCTCAAATCTCTGGATGCCAAAAGATTTTTGTAGAAAGTTGCAGCTATCCCTAGTTCTAGATTTCCAAGAAAGAAAAGCAAACCTTTTTCAGAAGTGGCGCTGTAGCTCAAATGGTAGAGCGCTCGCCTTGAGCTGAAGAGCTGAGGGACAGCGCCCAGGCCCAGAGTTCAAGCCCCACAACTGACAAAAAAAAAAAAAAGAAACTAGGAAAAGCAAACCTTTTTCCCTTAGCAAGACTCTCTCCTCAAATATACCTACACAAGATCACACAGAGACACAAGCCCAAACATGTCTGCCTCCACAGCCACAGTGACATGGAACCAATTCCTATCTACCTAGGAGCTCTCTATGGAGACTATCCCCAGTAGAGGGAATATTCTCTATCAGAACCACTGTAACTGACTTTGTGAGGAATGCTAGGAAAGCACAGATGTTCGGAAGGTAAGGACCCAGCAGAGGCTTATGGGAAGGACCCTAAGTGAACCTGAGGTAAGCTCCAAAGGCCTCCAGTTATATACAAAGACAAGAGCAAAGCCAAGAGCACCCTGATCCAGCCTACCCTACATGTATTACAGCAACGGAGTTGGCATCATTGCATAAGTGCTGATAACTGACTTTTTTTTTCTTTTCTAAACCAATACAATTCAAGAGAAGACAGAGTCACTTGAAGGTCAGTGGTAACTGACTCCTCTTCCACAAAGTTGTTTTGCCCCCCTCCTGAAACTATAAACACTCTTCATTGTCTGCAGTGTGAAAGGAAAAGCCTATGACCCTGTGGCATTACTAAGGCTACTAATCCATTCAGTACCAACATCCACTTCTGCTCAACTGTACCTTCTCTCTGAGAAGGCAAGAATGATGAAGCAGATGGTTACACTCCTAAATGCTGCCAGATACCAGCTCTAGAACTCAGGGTTCAGGTGTTTGGGTTTTCTCATGTGTTCTTTTATTGTTATGATTATTATAACCTTAATCATTTACAGATACTGATTACCTCCTTTTGCCCAGCCCTCTGCGGACTGCTGCCTGAGTCACACAATCACTGAAGCATTACAAAGAAACCTGCACCATCTCCTATCATATACTCTGGCACAAACATAAGCCCCTTACTGCAGGGTCCTCTTTCCCTTTCTGGGCCAGAGCAACTCTGAACAATTCCCAAGATACCAGAGTAGGGAATGAGGAAGGGCAGGCTCTGCCCCTGGGTGCATGCTCTAGGGCCAGCTATGGGAACAGTCCAAGCAACACAGGGAGTTCACATTTTACATCTCCGAGGCAATATGTGGTCTCAGATGGAGTTCAATGAGCCCTTCCTGGGATCAGTTCTCATGTTCCCAGAGTCCTTGCTCCAAATTCAGCCTAGGTACTCAGACTGCACCAAGCCATAGGGACCACCAGACCCACATAGCTCTTATCTTAAAAGCCCCAAGACTGTCCTTTCCAAATACATAATGAACAACTTGTATACATCTTGATCTCAGCAACTCACTAACCTGCAAGAACAAGGAGGGAAGAAGGAAGGAAGCTGGCAGATCATGGGCATAAAGCTCAACCAAGGTGGACAGAGGAGGATTCTTATTTTCAGAATAGAATCATCCATTTGGAATTTTGCATCCCTACAAATGTTTCTTCACAAAGTATGATAAAAGGAGGGAGAATAAAGAGTTTTCCTACTGTTTTTTTAAAAAGGCATAAATTAATAAATAATGAATGACTGAAGTACAATTGCTGAAGCAAAGACAGGTCTAAATTACAAGGAAAGCAACCTGTGACATGGACATTTTGTCCCAGAGATCTAGTGATCAGAAGGCCTACAGTGGGTTCAGAGAAAGACCAGTTACAATTTCAAAAGAACTGCAACTTTCAGTAGACTGCTAGGAGGTACCCCCTTGTGAGGACTGAAAACATAAATTTTTAAAGCTTTGGATACTTCCACAAAAGGCAATTAAGACCTGTACTGTTAAAGTTTGCAGTTCATTTCATATGGTCTACACTTTATTTATTCCCTGCTAACCAATCCAGCCCCTGGCCCACATTCTGGAGAGTCATTAAGCACCATATAAATACTCCAGGCCACACTGCTTCCAATGAAATCTTCTAAGGAGCCTTTGCCAATTACTAGGAAACAATCATACACCAAGTAGTTGGATTAACTGTCCTTAGTCCCCTTTACATAATTGAATAAGTCTCCATTGTGGTAAGCAGGCCAGACTCTGATAACATTCTTATGCTCTGAGGGAAAAAAGGCACTATCATTCTAAGAATGCAAGCTGACCATAGTTTGAAAGTCAGTTGAGTATACTGTGTCATGGTCCAAGAATGTGCTTTTAATTGTAATTGACACACACAAATTACACAGTTAATCTGTGCAAATGCAAAGTTGCCAAGAAATTTAACATTTCAGCTCTTCCAGACTGGCGTCTGTGTAGATGCAATCACACAAAGAAAAATATATTAAGTCCCCCTATTGCTTAATGCAATAGGTCTCTGGGGTGGGTAAGGTAAGTCAACTTAAGTAAATCTCATTTTCCTCTGAATTAAGTGATTGTCAGAAAGCAAATCACCTTTCCTTTTCCCCTCATTAGGCATGCTGTAGTGCAAAAATTCCTATAAAAATACCTTTTTTTAAAAAAAATCATTAGTGTAAAAATCAAGAAAACAGCAGCTGCCTAGAACAGGGATGTTAAATTTTAAGAGAGGAGGAAAGAGAAGAAAACCCCACTGGATACTTTCTGTGCATTAGCACAGTACTTTTGTTTGTCCAAACAATTCTGTTTTATGACAAAGTCACTGAAAGATTTTGACACCACCTCTTGGGAGTGCAATCCGTGAAGTTCAAAACAGCAGACAGTGTACCACAGAAGATGTTTATGTTAGATCAGCCAAACTATAAAACTCTTATAACACTTCTCCAAACCCAGCATTTCCAGTGTTTACAGATCACTTTGTTAACTGCAAGACCTAGTTAGTATTTAAAAATTTAAAGGGCCTAAAAAAAAAGAAAAAGAATCTTTCTCTCCTGTAAGTTATCAATTCACAAAACAGATCCCACCATGTAGGAAAAAACAGTATCGCCCTGGGTTTCCTGGAGTGGAGACAGGATCTCCACACTCCAAGCTGCGACCTGCTAAAGTGATCATTTTGATTTTTCACAGCTTTGAAAGCCCTTAACTGGCTTTTCTTTCCATTGTGGATCATTCCAAAGTCTGCAGCAAAATCATTGGTTTTATGATGCTGGGATGAGAATGAGGGGTGGGAAGTTGGGTGTGTGTGGGGGGGATTGTTTAAGTGTTGCTAGTTTGTTCATATTGAAAATCTCTGCATACAAGGTTTAGTAGCATTACCAAAGAACTGCTGGTGTTCCTTCCTTCAAAATGAGGAACATGTGGAGATTAGCTAGCTTTACACCACAGTTTCATTGCCTTTCCCAGGCTTTACCCAACCATTCCCTCTCTTCTCTCTTTTTACCTTCCCAGAATTCACCAATCTGTTGGAACATTTCTGCCAGGTGTGAAGAGTTTTGGCAGACCAAATCCACATGCCTGAAGTGATGCCCACAAGCAAAGACATAAAGATTTTCAACATTTCCACGGCCATATTAGAGTCATCTGCAGAATACCGAAAGAGCGCCCAGTTGGAGATTTCATAGAAATAGCAAGCAATCACACAGGTTGCAGGAACTGTGTACAGCACTGAGAAGACTCCGATCTTCACCATCAGCCTCTCTAGCTTGTCTGTCTTTGTCCCATCCTTCTGAAGATTAGACCGGATTTTGAATAAGGCCACCAAGCCTGCAGCAATGAACAAGGTTCCGATCACCAAGTAAGTAAAGAGGGGAGCCACTACAAAGCCGGTGAGGGCATCAAGGTTCTGGTTCCCAACATAGCACAGGCCAGTCAGTTCATCTGCATCCACCAGTCTCATAATCAGGATGACGATGGTTTTCACAGCAGGGATGGCCCAGGCCGCAATGTGGAAATAAGAGCTATGCATTTCAATGGCTTCATGACCCCATTTGAGTCCTGCTGCCAGAAACCAAGTGAGTGTCAGGATAACCCACCAAATGGAGCTGGCCATTCCAAAAAAGTACATCAACAAGAAAATTATTGCACATCCTGTGTTCTTAAGTCCTTCTTGGATGAGAATGGGTTCTGCTGCCTCTTCAAAATCGCAGGATATCCTTTCCCGGCCTACAGTCAGCCTGACAATATAAGCAATGCTATAAATATTATAGCACATACTGAGGAATATGATGGGGCGTTCAGGGTAAGAAAACCTGGAAGAATCAATCAGGAAGGTCAGCACAGTGAAGGCGGTGGAGATGAAGCATAGGCTGGCCCACACCGCCATCCATATGTCGGTGAATTCTTTAGCAGATCGGCTGTATAAGCCAGCATCATAGCCACACTTGAGAACGCAGTTTAGACTCCTTTTCACCCAGATGTACTGATCAGAATTGGTTCCCACAGAGTGACACTCTTCCCCAGGCTGGATGGAGGTCTTGTGAGGTAAGGGTACCTCTTCATCACCTGGCCCTTCCATGCACATGTGATTGTGGTCATTCTGTGGTGGGAATTTGCTGCAGTTCAGGCTCTCGGGCCAGGCAAACCCAAATTCTTTCAGGACGGGTTCACAGCGTCTCTTGACTGAAAGACACATGCCACCACATGGGCCAATGGGGATGTTGATCTTCTCTGTACACATTGGCACGTACACCGAACAAAGGAAGAACTGGAAAAGTAATGAACAAAGAAAATAATGGCTTGGAGGTTTGTGCAAAAGCTTGTAACACAGCTGAATGAATGTTTCAAGACAATGTATATATCTACTTTTAAGCCAGCCTTTTAGGGGTTCAGCTGGTTGTTCTGACCTCAAATAAGGGTGCTTTCTAATCTATCCTTTTTATACACGGTTCTTAGTTTGGCTCCACTCATTCTTTCCAGAGAGATATACATAAAAAAGGAAGCACATAAATAAATATAATGCATAATCCTTTTTCATACTGCCCTTAGTAAATCATCTTTAGAAAGTAATCTTGTAAAATCTGACATCTAACACCCCTCCCCTTTTAGTCACTATATGAAAGAGTTTGAAAAATCTAACAAAATGATTATTTTAGATCATTCAAACCTGGACTGAAACAGAAAAGAGAGACCAATGGAGATGCTGTTAGACAGGAGGATGAGCTGTGGATTGAGGTCTCCGGTCACCAAGCATTTGTTTGGCTTGTGTTTCCTCAATGAATAATAATGAAGCACACTAGGCAAATGTAAATGTTAAATCCCTGAGACTGCACTAGCAGCAGGGGAGAGTCCAGTTGCTGTCCTCAATTCCTCCAGCATTGATAAACAGTCTCCCTGGCTCCTTACAGATGTTGTCTATGAGGTCTAGAGTTACAAGGAACTATTTTCCAGCATGTAAAGGGATCCAGTCTTGTCCTTCAAAACAGCTTGGCTGCTTCTCCAGGATACGTGTCATTAAAAATATATATCCCTGCAAAAGCTGTTTCTCCAATGAAAATTGCCACTGATGTCAGGGTATGTGCTGCTTCCAAACTGAGACCTGGAGGATCATTTCTTCAGCTTTTATAACCTAGTTCTAAAATTCTGAAATTTCCAAAGGGATATTTCACCAGCAACAGGTCTAATCCCAACCATCTTTCCAAAACCACAATCCAACTTTTAAAATGACCTATGTAGAAACATGAGGCTAAGTAAGTATGTTGTATGTCTGTTTCTTATCTATCAGAAGTTATAGCCAGCTCCATAGATTTTTGAATTTTTTTAAGCATGGACAACTTTTATTTTTTCCCCCAACTGCTGCTCTCTTTTCTGAATTTCTTAAAATCACTCAGCGTCACCAACCAAACCACAAGTGATGTCAAGTTCTTTTACTTTCCTTTCAGTTCACAAATCCCCCCCCCCATAATAATTTGGTTGTTTTTGCACAATTAAGACTACCCTGCATATGCAAATTCTTTCTTCACTTATTATTTAAGGAACAATTATTGTTATCATTATATATTACATAAGCTGTCAAATGTTTAATGACTTTAAAAATGCCTGCAACATTAAAACTATCTTCGTAGAAGTTTGTTTGTTTGTTGTTTTTCATCCAAACATGAAACCTGCTCCCAACTCTGAGGACAAGACAGAACTCAAGCCAAAACCAGCCTAACTTATGTGACCTCTAAATCCACCAGGGACGATGTGAGGACAGGCCATTCCGCAGAACATGGTGCAGTGGTATTGTATTTAAATAAACCCACTCACCCATCCACCCCCCCCCACACACACACACACAAATTATGGGATAAACAACGGGGAAGTTCTTGCTTCTTATCTCTCCTTCCAAATCTTAGCTGCAGCTGGCTGCTCTGCGGGGACTCACCCACCAAGCAGCGGCGGCCAGGATCCTTGGCAAAGAAAACCCCTCAGCTCCACTGGGGTTAGGGGCTTGGCCAGACATGGGTGGGCAGGGGAGATAGACGGAAGGGCGGGGTGTGAGAGTGGGTTCCTTCGCAGGCCAGATGACTTACACAACGTCTTGGCTTCCAGTCCCTGAGAAGGGACAGCAAAGTGGGGGGGGGGGGTGGAAATCACTTTTCCAGTAGAGCTGCACACTTCCAACTAGGACGGGGCGGAGGGGGGGAGCTTCGCGAGGGGGGCCGGGGACCCCGCCGGGTGGGTGGAGGGGTGGGGGTGGGCGCTCACCTGCAGCTGGCTGGAGCAGCCGTACTGGATGAGAGGCGTGAACGTGGTCAGCTGCAGCTCAGCGTCCGTCTGCAGCTCGTGCCCCACCAGGTTGGGCATCTTGGTCACGTTGTAGCCGAGGTTCTGGCACATGGAGATGCGGATGGGGTCGCACCGCCGCTCCTCCTCGTCTCCGAAGCCCCGAGCCGGCCCGAGGAGCAGCAGCAACCGCAGCACCAGCGGCCCCAGACGGAGCCCGACGCCTCCGGGTGCCCCCGGGACGCTCGGCCCGGTGCCCCGCCAGGCCATGGCCAGAGCCCGGGGCTGCGGCGGCGGGGACGGATCCGGCCGACACCCCCAGTTTGCACCGGGGCGCGCTGCTCGCAGCTCGGGGCAAGGGAGTGCGATAAGGCGCCAAGGGTGACGCGGGGAGCAGCGGCTGCCGCTCCCCGCCGCTGCCCGCGACCCGTTGGGATATCAGACGCCCCGGGCTGAGACAGAGGGTCAGACTGCTAGGGTCATGGCTACAGGCGGCGGCGATCCCGCAGCCCGGCGCCCGCCGCGTCGGCTCGGGGTCTCTGCGAAACCCGCCAGCACTCAGCGCCGCGCCGCTCTCACTGCCCCAGCGCTGCGCGGCGCAGGAGGTTCGCTGGGCGGTGGCGGAAGAGGACCGATAGCTCTCCTCTCCAATGGGCGCGCGGCGAAGGCCGTGGGGGCGTGGTCACGGGGCGGGACCTCCCTCCCGCTGGAGGGGTCAGGCCCCCGCCCGCGGCCCTGCGCCCGCCCCGCCCCGCCCCGCCCCGCCCCGCCCCACTCCGCTTCCCGGCGAGCACTGTCCTCCCACCCACAGCTCGGCGCGCTCGGGGCCAGGCGGCGACGGAGCCCCACGGCTCCCGCCAGGCCGGCCTGCGCCCTCCTCCCAGGTGAAGAGTGTTCCAGGATGGGGTCCCACTTTCTTTTCCTTCTTCTTCCAGCTGTCACCTGAATGTGCCGCCGCCCCCGGCCGAGAAGAGCACACAAAGGAACTCGTGACTTCGCGTTACACCGGTCGTGGCTGGGAATCCCGGCGGTGTGACCTTGAACAAATTGCTCAACCTCTCAGAGTCAGGCGGATCTCCCTCCGTACCACGGCGGGAGGATTAGAGATAAAGTTTAAAAGTCTCAACTCCCGTGCCTGGTACTGCGCGAGTCGGCAGCTCGCTCGGTGGGCGCCCGACCCCTCTCCTCGCCCGGCCCGCGCCCGCGGCGGCCGGGGCTCCAGCCCCGAGTGGGGGAGGCGCCGCGCAGCCGGCCGGCCGACCGCCTCGCGCTCCGATTTCCTCACCGTACGAAACGAAATTCCACAGGGGGATTCGAAAGGAAATGAGGCCGGGACGCTCTGTGCTCCGCGGCCCGCCGCCCTTCCTGTCTCGGGGACACGGTTTCTAAAGAAGGTTCAGCGGGTGAGAGGGCGGCAGGGGAGAGGTTCGACCCGTGCGGGGTGAAGGTCCCGGGACCCGGCGAGATCCGCCCGCCGCCTGCGCCCCCCGCGCCCCCGCTCGCAGCCTGCGCCCCCCCCCCCCCCCCGCCCGCAGCCTGCGCCCCCCCCCCCCGCGCCCCCCGCCCGCAGCCTGCGCCCCTGCCTCCCCGTTCTGCGCCTGAGTAGGGTCTGGGGCAGAGGATATGGTTAGACCCGAGGTCCCGTCCGGCCCTTCCCTCCCTCGTGCCTGGCCACCTGTCGGCCGGTGTTCGGACAGGGGAACTCTCAGCAGGTGGCATCCTAAACCGTTTACTTATTGCTTAACTGGGGTCACACCACCACACATCTCCCAGCCCCAACACGGACCATCTGGCCAACCTCTGAGACAAGTTCATCTCCCCACCAGAGTTCTCAAGACTTCCAGGAAAAAAAAAATCATGCCTGTAAACAGGGACTGGCAAATAGTAAATGCTAAATAATTTATTGTTGTTGTTGTTATTTTGGTCTGGGGCAGAGCAAGTCCGTTAAAGACACAATCTAACTTTCCAGTCTGGTGTTAAATACATCTGGAGCCCAGGTCTGAAGATTTTGGTAAATAGATTTTTATGTTTCAGTACTGGGGATTGAAGTCTGGGCCTCACTGAGCTTGGGAGGTAATTATTCTATCACATGAGCCACACCTTCATTCCTTTTGCTATGGTTTTTGTTTCTTGTCCTTGCTGTGACTAGGATCCTCCAATCTCCACCTCCTGAGTAGCTGGGATCACAGTGGGGGGCCACCTAGGTAAAGGGATTTCTGCCCTCATCCTGAGATCCTTTTGTCCCACACTTGTCACTTTTCCTGGGGCTGATTCACCGTTTAAGTTGGAAGAATGTCCGTGCCATCCAGGTGGTACTCATATTTGTTTTGTATTTTTAGTTGTCTTTTCTTATATTGGCTGAGAGCACGAATGGAATAAACTTTTTTAGGCCTTTGGCTCCAGGCCTGGAGCTCCTGAAACTGTGAATGTCCTAATGTCTTGGTGAAGGAAACTCTACCCCCTTAAAGAGATTGTGAAACTGAGGCTAAAACCAAAGCAATAGTTAAATGACAGAACCAGACAGTCACTTCAAAAATAGAGATTGCCTTTATCTCCCTCCCCTGCACCCCCCCCCCCCCAAAAAAAGTCCAAGCTGGAAATCAGTGACTCAGGGGAGGCCTGAGTCTTTTGTATGTCTCCACCAAGTAACACTCAACACCAGTAGCCCACAGACCTAATAAGTAAAGGAGCAGAGCAGAGCAAAATAATTTAATCAGCATTTGAGCTTCAGAGAGGAACAAATCAGATGACTAGTAGAAATGAATTGAATAATTCCCCACTCTCGAAGAACACCCTAAGGAGACAAAGAATAACCAACTAGCATTAAGTCCCTATTATAAGCCCATAGGTAGAAAATTGTGGGCAAACTGAAGGTTTGGAGGGCTACTCAATGTGAGATTCTGAGCTATTCAACAACAATAAATGGAGTTAGTTTACAATAGGCAAACTTGAGTAGGGTGGGAAGGGGGCAGGGCGGGTGCTGAAGAAAGATGTACGCGCTTTATGAATCAATGCTCCTGAGCTCCAGAAGGTCCTGTTCCTCACACTGGGCCTGCCACAAGAAGGGAACTTCGTTAAATGTTGGGCAAAAGAATACCATTATCGAATCAGTAACAGAGAACTCATATAGAACACGCTAGACATGGGCTTCCATGATTTACATTTGCTATTTCATTTATTTCTTACATCTTGAGAAAACATGTTCTGCGATGTTAAACACTTTGTCCAAGATCACACAGTAGGTGGTAGAAAGGACTCACATGAGTACCTGCAAGCCAACTGTTTTGGTGCATGCCCATAAGGCTAGCACTCAGGAAGCAGGACCCAAAGAAATTGAGTACAGCCTGATCTAGTTAGTGAGACTGTCTCAGCAAAAGCAAGAACAAGAACAAATCAGATATGTTGACTATCCCTGGTAGATTCTCCACAGTTGACTTATGAGGACTAATGTGTGCATAGCTCAAATTAGAACTCAGGCTGTGGAGTTGATCTGTGAGTGGTTTCAAATAAGAAACAAAGGCCAACACTGTAACCCTAGCTGCTCTGGAGGCTGGGAGCTGAGAATTGCAATTTGAAGCCAGCCCAGGCAGAAAATCTGCAAGACTTATCTCCATTTAATCATCAAAAAACCAAAAGTGGAGGTGTGGCTGAAGTGGTAAAGTGAACCTTGAGTGAAAAAGCCAAACAAGAGTGTAAGACCCTCAGTTCAAGCTCCAGTACTGCACAAATACAAATAAGCAAGCAAAATAAATAAATAAATAAAACGTTAAAATAAAACAGGTGAACATATGTTTCAGGAGAGCAGGAATTTTGGATTGTTCCCCATCCTCTAATATTTTCTGAGCAAGAAAGAGGTAGCCCAGACATAGTGTTGGAAACATTTTGTGGTGTGTGTTCAGGTGATAAAATAACCCATAGTTTGTTCTAACCGAGGATGGTGATAACTGTGACCATAAGAAAGTCTATTTGTATTTGGAGATATCAGAATAATTTTTTTCTCTACCTTGTAAATATCAATCATATATCTGTTGATAGATAATTTGAATAAAGTATATTAAAGGTGATATGTATATGCCTGGCCCTGAACTCTGCTGTCACAGAGGAAACTGTTCTAACACCTAACCTAATCCTTGGTTAAAGATGACCCCTTTGTGAGCCTGACCTTTTATCCTTGTCCAGGCATCCCTGCCTCAGCATGTTTGAAGGGTTTGTCTCCTTTGAAAACACTTGAAGAAGCCCCTTCCCCATCAGAGGCTTCTCCTGTCAACAGCTTTTCTTACGAGGGATGAAACTCTTTGTAGGTATTTTCCAAAAAAAAAAAAAAAAGGCAAAGGAGTCAAATTTCAGTGTGAATGTAGAAAGAAAACAAAGACCAGACTTACAACTGAGACTGAATGGCCTGCAGCTAGCTCCTCAGCCTTCAGCTCCCACAGTAGCTTACTCTATCCAAAACTGGCCCTGGTGACAGGCAGAGAACATTTGTCTTTGTATGGAAAACACTTCCCTGAGGGAGTTCCAGGCAGAGAGGATCTATCCCCTGTCCCCCACTGCTTGTCTGAGGGGAAGACATACAGACACCAGAAAACGGAACTTCAACCCCAGTGGCTCTTGCCTGAGGACTAGGCAGTTTCCCTTGTTCAACTTCTCACTTTAAAGCTGCCAGGCACCGGTGGCTCACGCCTGTAATCCTAGCTACTCAGGAGGCTGAGATCTGATGATCATGGTTCAAAGCCAGCCCAGGCAGGAAAGTCCATGAGATTCTGATCTCCAATAAACAACTAGAAAACCGGAAGTGGCACTGTGCCTCAACTGGTAGAGTGCTAGCATTGAGCTGAAGAGCTGAGGGACAACACCCAAACCCAGAGTTCAAGCTCCATGAGGGACCAAAAAAAAAAAGGCGGCCTCAAACATGACTTCTATGGTTTATTAGCCCTTTGGAGGATTCCCCATTGCATCTAATGAGAGCAAGGTTCTAATGAACTTCTGTGATGTGTTCATATTTTAGCTTGATATTTTCTTTTTTTTTTTCTTTTTTTTTTTGGGGGGGGGCCTGAACTCGGGGCCTGGGCGCTGTCCCTCAGCTCTTCAGCTCAAGGCTAGTGCTCTACCACTTGAGCCACAGCGTCACTTCCGGCTTTTTTCTTCTTGCTTATGTGGTGCTGAGGAATCGAACCCAGGGACTCATGCATGCAAGGCAAGCGCTCTACCACTGAGCCACCTTCCCAGCCCCTAGCATGATATTTTCTATGTAATAGATTTTGTGTGCTTGTGCCAGTACAGGGACTTGAACTTGGGGCAGCTTTTTCCTCTCAATGCTCGTGCTCCACCACTTGAGCCACAGCTCTACTTGCAGGATTTTTGCTGGTTAGAGATTATCTTAGGGAATTTCCTGCCTGGGCTGGTTTTGAACTTCCATTCTCATAGCTTAGTCTCCTGAGTAGCTAGGATTACAGGTGAGAGCCACCCGATATAGCTCAAATATATTTTTGCAATGGTTCCTAAATTAAAGACTGCATCAGGAGACTAGCATTTAGGTTAAAATCTATCATCTAAGGGAGTGA